GGTCCCGGGAAGAGGGGGAGGGCTGGGGGGCATCGGGTGGCTGGCTCGATCCGTGCCAGGTGCAGGGTATGCTGGCTGGGTGCTGGCAGTCTTGCACCTGGCACGGTCACCGTAGCCAGCCCATGCCCCTTTAAGCGTCCGGGGCCGGGAGGGGGGCATAGAGTTTCCCTGGTGTTGGCCAGAGTGGCCACCAGGGAAACCTGGGGAGGGCTAGCCTCCCACTAGTTCGAATTAAGGGGCTACACACCCCTTAATTCGAACTAGCTAGTTCGAACTAGGCTTAATCCTCGTAAAATGAGGTTTTCCTAGTTCGAACTAAGCGCTCCGCTAGTTCGAATTAAGTTCGAACTAGCGGAGCGCTAGTGTAGCGCCTATTAAAGTTAGTTCGAACTAACGTCCATTAGTTCGAACTAACTTTGTAGTGTAGACATAGCCAAAGAGATATAAAATGCTCATCAGCAAACTCAGGCTGGAAATGAAAAAATAAGATGTCTAACTTTTAGAGGGTGAGGCTCTGAAACAGCCTCCTGGAAAATGATGTGGGGACAGCAACTTAGTTTTAAAAGAAAGATGGACAAATTTAAGTGCAATCATGATAGGATTGCTGGGAAAGGTCGGGGGTGCTGGTCTTATTCATGTTTCAGGGTTTCACATGGCTGCAGTGTCGGAAAGAGGTTACCTCCTCCCCCCCAAAAATATATTCTAGTAGGGTTCTTTAACCTCCTTCCTGTAAAAGATTAGGAATGACAAAGGCTGGAAAAGGGGACATTGGACAAAGTGAGGCAGAGCTCTGAGGTGGCACCGAGAATTATCTCAAGTGCTTGGCTGGCTGTTCCTTGCTGACATGGTAAAGATCTAACTGAGGTTAGGAAATAATTTTCTCCAATGTCAGACTGGAAGTGACTTTGGGGGATTTTCACCTTTCTCTGCAGCTTGTGGGTAGAGGTCACTTGCCAGGATTATCTGGGTATATCTCAACCTTTTTCCTGCCACTGTGAAGGCCCTTGGGCACTGGTGCACCTCAGTCTCTCCTATTCTATGCATGTAGCACATAAGAGTCTAGTCATCTGTGAGATGTGATACTTGATTTAACTTCGATTGTTGAGTTTAGTGTGTGAGTGCTGGGAGGAGTTGATGACCTTTGAGTTACAAGGATGTCAGACGAGATGGCTGACAGAAAACTTTCCATTAACACTGGACCATACAGAGCAAATACAAATTACTATTTTAGTTAAATCTATAGATACTAAAATATGGAAACATGGATCTTTAATTTCTTTAAATATACAGGGTTAAATGGTTCATGCTTGTAGCATCTAAAATATTCATTCATCCATTTTATACAGATAAATAACATTTAACTAAATATTTCTGCAAAATTAAATATCTATTTTTTGCCACTAAAGAAAAATGAGTAAATACACTATTTCCAAACTAAAGCCACTAATAATGTTACTAACGAAAAAAATGAAAATATAAATTTGCACTCTTTCAACAGTTTTGGATTTTTTTCTACAGTACTATATATTCAAAAATTGGCACAACACATGTAGCATTTAACATATCCATTATACTTACAGGCTTTATTTTTGTATAGTTTAAAACAGTTTTTAGATTTAACATATTATAGGTTTGAGACAGATAAATGGTAGTTATATTTTACATAATGAATTCAAATGTATCCTAAAATAAATCAAAGTGGTGGGGGCCCCACAAATTGTTGAAAGGTAAAGGTAAAGGGCAAAGCAAATCAAATCAAAGAAAAGCATGTCCACTGGTGAACGCCTTAACCAACCCTCACTATGGAAAAATTCCCAGTAAGTCAATGGGAGTGAGAACTTCTGAAATGATCACTATATGCCTTTAATGATGTGCTTGCTTTCCCAAGAAAAACTGAACAAGTATCAAAGGGGCTATTTCTGCAATAAGAGCTAGAAGACTTCAATTTATCTTGTTCCAAATTGTATGTCCTTTGTACTCCATAGTCCTTCTTTTCAAGAACAACCCAACATATTACTACATTCACATAAAGAAGTTCTAGAATCATCCCTGTTCTTTCTATCTTGAAAACCTTGGAAAGAGACAGGCCAAGAAATACACCTTTTCTGGGGTCAGTGGGGAAAGAAAGAAATGAAGGATCATTTACATGACCTAAGAAATCAAATTTGCTACTACAATTAGTAAACTCTACAAGCAGATTAGGAACACACATTTGGTAGCACTACACTCTTTACTTACCCATAGTTTTCAGCTGAACCATTGACTACATGATCTGCCCATGAACTTGCACCATTGTACCACCTTTACAATGCAGTTAAAATAAAGAGGTGTTATAAATATACATAGGTAATATTAATAACACTATAATTCATGTGTCATATTTGCTTCTCACTAATCTAGAGATTTTTTTCAATTGCTTCCAATATGTTTTCTGTGTTTCCTCTTCTTTGCTAAGAGGTATCAGGGAAAACAGGTGCCTTCTGGCAACAGTTATGTATATTTTTCCAGATACAATTCCCAATTTATTTCAGTAAGGTAACTATATAATTTTCAAGAAGTTTACTTAACCATTTACTTCTTTCTTTAAGGTTTGATCCTTCAATGCTTTTGCATGCAACAAATCCATTTTCTTTTAGTGCATGTGGAATACTTTAAAGATTAAACCATAGAGAGTACTCTCAAATTAGAAAGATATACCTAAGACAAACCACTTTCTTTACCTATGTCCTAAAACACCTCTGAATAGTAAGGCAACTTAAAAGTTCTGTTTACTGTTATCTATTGAAGATTTTTTGTTGAATTATTATATTTGTTTGGAAGGAGGTAAGGTGCTGCATTCCATTCAGCTCCCATAATGAAAAAATCTATGAAATGATAATCACTGTTAGTGGTGTAGGTGAGCTACCTGATTTATATATGTGCAGCCTGACATCAGCAACATCAGTCAAAAACAACATCAAGAGATTTGTAGAAAGGTTCTGTTTGAATGGAAGAAGAAATTGAAAAAGAGATTCTGGGAAGGTGAAGTCATGATCTCAAAATGTTACTAACGAAATACCTGTCCTTCCAGAGAATATACTTATTGTTTATTATTTTATCATTTATTATCCTAAAACTCTGGAAGCATGTGCAATTCATATAACTCTGGGTAAGAGACAGGGTGAGCAAATCAACTTCGGTAATACATGGAATCCTCAGATCTCCTGCAAGCACCGGTTATGTAGAACTGAGAATGCAGTGGTTCCATGAATCTTCAGATAATGGTGAACAAGAACTAAGACTGGGATTTCCAAAGAAGGCTATGGAATCCTTGAAAGTCAAATGCAGTTGTGTGCCTAACTTCTTTAGACTCTATTGAAAATCTCAGGCTAAGCGTCCATGATGACCCTCTTAGTGATTTTGATACTGTTGAACACAAGGTTTTTGCTGAAACTATAGCAAGCTACTTCTTAGGACCGCTGTGAAACCATAGCTTGCATAGAACATGGTGGTCCATTCATTAAAGGATGTTTCTCACACATTATTATTATTAAATTTATTTTCACTTTTTAAAACTTATTAATTTTGGGAAGAGAAGTGACATTTTTGAAGGAAATCCAGCTGAAGTTCTACATCATAAAGTAAGCGGGGATAGAGGGAAGGAGATGTAACACCTGAACACTTAGGCTACGTCTACACTGGCCCCTTTTCCGAAAGGGGCATGGTAATTTTAAACTTCGTAATAGGGAAATCCGCGGGGGATTTAAATATCCCCCGCGGGATTTAAATAAAGATGTCCGCCGCTTTTTTCCGGCTTGTAGAAAAGCCGGAAAAGAGCGTCTAGACTAGCCCGATCCTCCGGAATAAAGCCCTATTCCGGAGGATCTCCTTTGAAGTAGGAATAAGAGATCCTCCGGAATAGGGGCTTTATTCCGGAGGATCGGGCCAGTCTAGACGCTCTTTTCCGGCTTTTCTACAAGCCGGAAAAAAGCGGCGGACATCTTTATTTAAATCCCGCGGGGGATATTTAAATCCCCCGCGGATTTCCCTATTACGAAGTTTAAAATTAGCATGCCCCTTTCGGAAAAGGGGCCAGTGTAGACGTAGCCTTAGAGAACAAGAGATTTTCCACCTGACTTCAGTTCAATTCTTTTTGTATCTTTAATTTTATTAATGTCATTTAAAACTGAATCAGTGCTATATTATTTATAAGGTTGTAACAGAGGCTGGTTATGAAATTATCAACACACTCTTGATTTTAGAACATTGTTTGGATCAATTAAACTTTAATACCTGTATCAATAAAGCAGCATATCTGTTTTAAAATACTATAGAGGTGTTTTACTGTAGACAACTGTAATGTGTAAATATGAATCTAAATTTTACAAAAAGGGATACAAATATGATTGTATTTGCTCATGATGGGTGATTGTAAACTAACTCTTTTCACAATAAACTTACTTGGAAATTGTGGAATATGTTATGTGAGGCATATTTCAATTAAGGGGGAACCACCCAACTCACCTATATTGTTGGTAATTTCCCCCATCCCTCCTTACCAATAAACATATTTCCAGGGAACATTTGTACTTAAAATACAGAGAGTAGTTCACGTAGTACTAAAATAACATTTAGCATTTCCAATCATGAAGAATGAGTGTTCCAAATTTAAACAAATATTCCATGAAATGCATTGTAAAGCTCAAGTATCGTGATTGTTGGCCAATTCGCGATTCTACAGTTCACTGCTCACAAAATGTTATATTATTAAAATTTATCTATTTCTACTATATAAATCAAAATACCTTTCAGGAGTATGGGCAGAGTCGTCATAATATGTATTAGGCACTCTTCTCTCCTGCCTAGTCCTCCTGAATATGAAATAAATAGCACAGATATTTTAGACATTTTAATAGGGCCTTATAACTGAGTGTTTTTCCTTGTTGTCTCATAGAGACGATGTACGTACAGTAAGATAGGACACTTATGTACAGTAATATCTATTAAAACATAAATATTCAAAGCCAAATTAATTTTTAAAACTGCTTTACGTTCAGTTAGTATTCAACCATAATGAATAATGTATTCAAGCCTTGTGAGTTATTCAAAGATTTTTTTCTAATAACTCAGTCATTTCACCATGTAAGCGGTGTTTAAGCAGGTGAGTTTTTCAGCAAAAATAAGATATGGAAGCTGTGAAATTCCATGCTTGGTAACAGAAATTGAAAGTTCATTTTCTTGCTGTAAAGTGGAACAATAAAATAGCTGAAAAGATGAAAAATACATCTCTTGCACCTACATGTATAAATTAGCTTTCATTGATCTCCAAGCACAATCTCTTCAATATAAACAAAAAGGGTGAAAATAAAAGGTCCTGAAGGAATTTTAAAAGAATAAAAAACAGTGTAGTCCTTTAAAGGGTGAAACTGGGCTTTGAGATGCCAAATGAGAATGGAAGCACTCAACAATGTGAGTCCAAACAAAACACAAGTTTGACATGCACGTGACTAGTGAGTATTGGAATAGTTAGACTAGATAGACAGACTAGTTTCCTTTTAAAATGAATTTGTAATTAAAATGTTGAGAACACTATGCTGTACATTTTAGTTAATCTGAGTGTCAGCCTATTTAAATTGAGTGACTGTGGAAGTGTGAACTGTGATCTGAACCAAAATCCTTGTGCTGTATTTGTGAACTAGGAAAGAAATGTAGGAAGAAAGCAACTGAATGATTCCCCAAGTGTTTAACAAACAGCAAGTAAAACTCTAGAAGGCCAGCTGAGATAGTGCCTAAAATGACTTTGATCTGAGGAAAAATTAGGAACTACCTATTAGTAGTGGGGTACTGATTAGTGCAACCATCTGGGATTAACATTAAAAGATGTCAACTACTTGGCTATCCCTCTGAAGCTTTTGGAAGTCAGGAAGTAGGTGAGGTACTTAAGAACTGAAAGAAACCTAACAGAATGATTATCAGGAAAGTTATGAAAAGCTGTATGGGATGGAAACATAGAATAAAGGAAGGCTGAAGATTATAACTTCTAGAAAGACTAGAAGCTAAAGGAAAGGAAAAAGAGGAATATGCAGGCAGCTATGTCATGCTAATATCCACAATGGCTTCTCTGATTGACAAGAAAAAAGATTCCAATGAGGAAAGGCCCTGGGAGGTATGTAGATTGCCCTGAATGATGAACAACAAGCACTGCACTGCAATCATCAAACAGAAAGAAACAGCAAATAACTCCTGATTAATGACTCCATAGTGGGAAATATACTACAAGACATCTTTGGGCCAGATGAAGGCAGGATTGCCTGCCTTTTTCTGAATGTCAGCACAAAATATATTATGAAATTATGCTTGATATCCTAATGAACTGTGGAAAATTCCACATGATTTTAATCCATGTCTGAATGAATGGCACCTGTGAAGGAATATTTAATATAATCAAGAATGACTTTAGGAACTGAATTTGGGATTGATGTAGCTTATTTTTGCAGACATTCAGTATTAAGCAAAGTGAAAGACGTCTGAGACTAACAATATAAAAAAAGAGGTGTCTGGATTTCAGAAACTGTTCTTGATGAGAGGTGATTGCATGAATCAGCGAGTCTTCACCAGATTGTAATTGGATTGTGACAAGATAGTGCTTGTTAGACAAGTGTTAAACTAGGCAATATGAGAAGAAAAGGGAAGATTTTGCTAAATTGAAGCAATTTCTCATATACTCCCAAAATACAAACTCAAAATAAGAAAGATTTAAATTATTTTGGATATTTTAACAGACATTGAAGAAGAAGAAAAGTACAGTGTATTAATTGGCACACGTGTCTATGAACAACTGTCAGAGTATGGGAGAAAAATAAGAATAACTAGGATAAATGATGGAGGTTTAATTAAAACTTGGTGAGATGATTCTCATAACTGAAATATCATCAAAGACAGATACCAGACTACTTGGACTGAAAAGATCAAAACATTCCTTAAATCTGAGGGCACTCTGTACACCATTTTAATAGTTGAATTAGGCCCACACAATACTATTTTTGCTTTACTAGATTTTTCTCTTTTAGATGACTAGCACAGGAGCTAAAATGATAACCCTCTGGGGCCATGTTTACACTAGAAAATTATTTTGAATTTACTAAATTCAACTTCTGGGGACCCAATTTTATAATTTCAAAGTTCTGTGTCCTCACTATGGGGAAGAATCCAATGTAATCTGAGGCAAGCACTATTTATGTGAATACACATAATATAGACTCAGAGGCTCAGAAAGCACTTTGGGGAGATGCGGGAGGCCTCCTAGAGGCCAATTAGTTTGAATTAGCAGCACTGGAGTATCCACACTAATGTTATTTTGGATTTACAAGTTCAGGAATACCATTATTCCTCACAAAAAGCAGGACTACAGATTTCAAATTCCACTGTCCCTTATTCCGGAATAACCAGCTTGGTAGTGTGGATGTATTGCTTACAAAATCAGCCTTGGGAAGTAAATTTCAGACTATGGTCCTAATGTAGACCAAGCCTGAGTGAGATCCTCTTGTATATATCGATTTAGCTTCATTCTTCAGCTATGTTGAATTATACCCACTGAAGATCTACCCCATAGTCTGAAACGAGTCCCAGATAAACCAAGGTAAATGATTTATACTAAAATATAAAAATAACTAATTAATTAAGATAGTTTCTTTAACTGGCTAATTTTTTTTCATACTCTCAAGAAATGCTTTACATATGCAAAACTTTGATTAAATTGTCTCTGTCTTGAATCACAAGACAGTGATTCAGAAAATCTCAAGCTAGATTCTCATCTGTTATGCAGCAGTGTAGCTCCAATGACATTAATGGTGCTATGTAGATTTATACAAGCTGAAAATCTGTCCTCAGAAATATGCTACCAGCTCTGCTGTGAAATTGTTATGTGATTTCTAGAAAGCTACATACCCCCATATCTCTGTGCCTGTTTCCCCATTTGAAAACGAGGGATAATGACATACATCTGAATATGCTGAGGCTTGAATTAAATTTGTAAGCAATCTTGAAGGCTTCAAATTGAAGGTAGTTTGGAAATTGTAATTTGATGTTATTTTTCTCCATTTGGTTACACGGTGGTATCTTTTGACTATTCGGTGTAATTTGGAGGTAACACTAATGTGTCTGTTGCTTAACTTGTTTACAAAAGTTAGGCTCTACATCTTGATCTAACCTGTAAAAAGCAGGTTACTTTTACTATTACGTCATGTTAAATCCCCCAGAATCATACCCATAAAGCAACACAACTTCAATGAAAAGTTTTGCCTGAGTCTGAAAGATGTAAGGGAGCCCTTTAAAACATCGCCATAGAATATTTAATGAACAAGATTGCCTTAGGCTAATAAGTAAAATAAAGGATTCAAGCAGAGAAGAATGCGTCTGGATCATCTGGTTATGAGTGCGGGGGAACTAACAGAGAATGCGGGAATAATGAGGATGCTTAGTACTTCGGGCCATTAATTACTTGCATACACCATAATAATCAACAGGTTCAAAGGCTACAAAAATACAATCCCTAACTAGATAGAAGGACTCCTTAATTATTTGAGATTAAAAATAACAAACTTGTAACAGGTTACAAACAATATTTTGTAAATCTCTCTAAACTCCTATTAACACACTTTATGTTTTCTAGAAGCTTTACCAAAATTCCTTGATAAAAATCTGCATATAAATCCAAAATACTTTTCAAAAAAAGAAATCACAGTTTTCCAATTAGGCAAAATAAATTATATGAAATGGTGAAGTGATTACTATTTAACATACACACACACACACACACACACACACACACACACACACACACACACACACAATTCATTAAAAGAAGTAAACATAAGAAAGCAAATAAATAGCTACATTAAAAAATTCATAAGTATCCCAAATTTTCATGAAGGAGTCAGATTCTAATCTCAGATGTACAGAGCATATTGCCATTTATATAAAAATGTATTCTGTTTTGTTGCTGAGCAAAAGTAGACATTTAATTGCACAGTGAAATTGCTTAACTAGTGTTATGGTTCTTAGAAACAAAGTAGAGAACTTTTTCTTGTCAGGACAATGATCCCCAAGAACACTTCCTTGCAAAAAAAGACCTGCTCTACTTGATTAACTAGTACACCCACCAATAATAGCTAATGTAACAAACTTAAGCGTGAAAACATAAGCACCCTAACAATACATAATCTTGGGTTCTTGCACCTACAAGTGCAAGTCTTACCATTATCACAATTTTCAGTCGGTATATGTTTACAGGCAGATGTGCAGCTCTCTGCAGGTGCTGCTCACAGGGAGCCTGCTTAAACATCAGCTTCCCATGAGCACTGGCTCTCACCTGCCCCCCACACCTGCAGTGCTATCTCTGATATAGGAGGAGGGGCTGTAAGTAACCATGAGGGTTAACCAATGAGCCCAGGCACATCGGTTAATCATTTACTTCTTTACATTGTCACATCCCCACTATACACCAAGCACTATAACTTAAAATGCTGTCCCCCTTGTTTCTACACACATGCCTTGACCAGATTACCTCCCACACACAGTACCTATACAAGTAGTTGTGAATGGAGGATGCAGAAGATGGTTTGGTTTGGAGACAGGCTGGTAATGCGGTAAAAGTGATCCAGTTAAAGTGGGTGATTAAAGACTGGCATCATAGGGGACAGAGTTCATGCTGTAGTGCATTGTTGTGATGACAGAGAGGAACAGTCTCTCTGCTCTCAGTTTTAGTTCTCCGGGAGTAATTATAAGGAAAGCCCTACTCAGGCCTTGCAACCCATACTGAGTGCAGTGTTTTTCTAGATAAATTGTATCTTAAACTTAAACAGCGGTAACAATAATATAATCTGCCCGAGGCTGAAAGTGGTCCTGGAAAGTTTTAGCCAAAATTGTTAAGATTTGGAAAAGCTGAAACCATCTGAAAGCAGAGTCTTTGATTAGAGATTGTTAGTCAATCTTCTTTTTAGTAAATGTGCAATGTGTGTCAAGTGGCATATGACTAGTATTCACCATTGAATTTGATCCTCTGGTTGGATCATTAGCTTCCCTGGCCTGGGTGAGGAACTGACAGGGGGTATGTCTACACTACCCCGCTAGTTCGAACTAGGAGGGTAATGTAGGCATACCGCACTTGCAAATGAAGCCCGGGATTTGAATTTCCAGGGCTTCATTTGCATAAGCGGAGAGCCGCCATTTTTAAAACCCCGCTGGTTCGAACCCC